GAAATAGGGAAAAAAAAAAAAAAAAAATATATATATATATATATATAGACATGAAAATGATCGGCTTACCAGAGAGTAGAATCAATGGAAACATAGCTGTTAAGAAACAATATGTATTTTTATATTGTGTAATGTAATAATAATATAACATCTGTATATAAATGCTTATTACGTGTATAAACATAGTGCAAAATACTTTTTATATCATTCCTTATTTGTAGGTAGCTTTGTATAAAAGCATCTATTAGATGAATGCATTTTAAAGTGTAATAACAACCATTCTTTAATATTAATGTTATTTTATATAATTAAAAAAAAAAAATGCTAAGATTTATAGGATGGATTTAAAATGAATTTAGTAGTTTACCTTTGGATGTTCTTGGTTGGCAATTTCAGATTATGTGACCAACTTAGTATTTATAATGGTTTTCAAAGTAAAAGGGGTGGATAATTTCTTTAAACACTCCTGACATCATGAGACTTGGATCACAAAGCTGCACTATCAAATGTACTCATTGTGAGTCTACATTAACAATAGTTAAAGAGGCTTAGTGAATGTTTAATCCCAACTGGTTCAAACTAGTTATTGGGGGTTTTTTTCAGCGATGAAGAGGGGTGTCTCTTTTTATCCACACAATTGCCTACATCAAGCTATGCAACTTAAGCACAGTGTTGACTTTCTTGAATGGCCAGATGCATATAGCCAGTGTGAATGGGTCTCCATTATTGGTCATTCTCAAGGTAAGTTAGACAATGTTGAGTATACATACACTGGGGTTTTCCTGATTTCATGTTAACACTATCTGATAATGACGACCAGCCAGACAGCTCACATTTACAGTTGATGAGATGTTTTTTATTGAATGAAAACAGAATCAAAATTGCAACAGATCCAGAAATGCATGCAATAGATCCTCCTGAATGAATTTGTGTCTTGGAATAAACTGGTTGAGTAAAGGATTCAATAACTCATTCGTGAAGCTAATCATATATTTTGTTACTGGATTAATTAGTCTTTTTCAACAAAGACACTTATTGACATAATAATGCAATCTGTAGAAAGAGTCTCTGGAAAATCCCCACCACTAATATGCACAGACTGGCAGTGTGTTCGGACAAATACAGAAAAGCAGAGTGATACAAACATACAGTCCTATATCTGAGGAGTTGAACACAAGAAAACAATTTATAGGAGACTTGAAAATAAGTGTAGGATAATGTTGTTAAAGATTGTACAGGTATTTATATTAAATCGACTCTGACCATTAAAAATGCCCCCCAAAAAACTTTAAATGACTCCCCTGACTCACCAGCTAGTGTCCCCCAAATGAATATCAGTCATTAAATGCATTTTAAGGATTTTTAGTTATTTTTAATGGAAAACAAAATTGTTGTCACACAACTTCATCCATTTGCATGGAGTAGCATCCAGTTATCATAAATAGCAAAGGTTATTTTGTATTTTTACAGTAGTCCTGATTGATCTGATTGATCTAATCTGATCAAATAATGAATACAGAAAGAGATGTTAAAATTTGTGGTTACTTCCATTTCATTCATATCACTCGAAATAGAAAGTCAAGTTGAGAGCATTGCATTGTGGCACAGGGCTCCAGACTGCACCTAAAACAGCTGCATTTGCGACCAAAAATATTAATTTGTAAGTGATATTTTTGCTGAGGTCGTCAATGGCGACTATATAAATTTACATGTTATGATTTAAAAATGTGCATGTAATGCCTATTTTCCTGACTGTTTTGCGATCACGTTTTGTTATGTTGACAAAATAAACTGAGACGCTGCACATCAATGTTTTAATGGAATAACAGTCTTCATCTCTCTCATCACCAGCTTTGACGGCACACCTGCTAAAAGCAGCTCCAGAACTTTATATTATTTGTAGCATGCTTGCTGTCCAATAATCGCGATACGCTTTGTGCTCTGTTACCTTTTAATAAACAAAGTATCAACTTTACAATTCTGCCAAATTCATAACAAATTTCAAACAATATATATATACCATTTTGGCGTTCTTTAAAAGTTTTAAATAAAAAAGAATGACAGATAATTTAGGCCAAAGTAGGGTTGGGCAATATTTATTTGACCAAAAGTACAGAAAAAAAAATTTATATTGTGAAATAGTATTAAAATTTAAAATAATGGGTTTCTATTTTAATAAAAAAGTGTCACATGATCCTTCAGAAATAATTCTAATATGCTGATTTATTATCACTGTCGGAAATAGCTGAGCTGCATAATATTGTTGACACAAACGGCAAGTTCCAAAGATGAAGATGAGTCAATAAGGTTCCAAACTAAGGTAATTTTAATGAAAGTAATCCATGCACATAACAGTATGTACAAAAACATGAATAATACTGGACACTAAATTGCAACACAAGAGGAACTTAAATACACAGAGCAACTAACAAGATAATTAAAAGATACGTGTGATCGTTAATGAATGACCATGCTGATGAGTGGCGGGAACAAAGGAAGCAGGAATGTGATGAAACAAACTAAAAGTCCTTGAAAATTAAACAAAAATAAAATAACCATGACAATTGTTTTGGAACCTGTGATACTTTGTTCAGGATACTTTGATGAATAAAAAGTTAAAAAGAACAGCATTTATTTAAAATAGAAATCTTTTGTAACAATGTACACTACCATTCAAAAGTTTGGGGGTAGTAATATATATATATATAAAATTATTATAATTTTTTTTTTTTTTTCGAAAATATTATTTCCAAACTAAGGTAATTTTAATGAAAGTAATCCATGCACATAACAGTATGTACAAAAACATGAATAATACTGGACACTAAATTGCAACACAAGAGGAACTTAAATACACAGAGCAACTAACAAGATAATTAAAAGATACGTGTGATCGTTAATGAATGACCATGCTGATGAGTGGCGGGAACAAAGGAAGCAGGAATGTGATGAAACAAACTAAAAGTCCTTGAAAATTAAACAAAAATAAAATAACCATGACAATTGTTTTGGAACCTGTGATACTTTGTTCAGGATACTTTGATGAATAAAAAGTTAAAAAGAACAGCATTTATTTAAAATAGAAATCTTTTGTAACAATGTACACTACCATTCAAAAGTTTTGGGGTAGTAATATATATATATATAAAATTATTATAATTTTTTTTTTTTTTTCGAAAGAAAATATTACTTTTATTCAGCAAGGATGTGTTCAATTAATAAAAAGTGATAGTAAAGACTTATATTGTTAGAAAATATTTATATTTTAAAGAAGCAAACCTAAAATGTATACCCCCAAACTACATGCACAGCAAATCAGGTGTTAAATTTCACTCTTTTCTGGTGTATATATAAGTCCCACCAGTCCAGTGTCTAAAGATCAGTTCTGACAGGGGTGACACACTCAGACAAAACCTGACAAACGTGTCTGTTGCCGTTTGTTGCCGTCTGATGTTGCAGTGTGATGTTGCAGAAGTGTTGAATTCACCTCAGTAAATTATTTTATACCAAGAGTTTAAAAATGTACTTGATTAAATTATTACTCTCTGCAAATGTATATTAAACAACACTTCAAGGTTTATTTGGAAAATTTCAACTTTCTACCCCACATTAAATTTATAAAAACTGTATATTAACATTTAGTTAAAACATTGAAACAATGAACAATTTCTATGCTTACACTGTTCTACTGCTACTCCCTTACTCAAAATAGTTGCACATTCAGTGTATCAATTGATGTTCATTCCCTTAAGAAGTGCACTTAAGTATACTTTTATAAAGTGTACTTATTGTGGAAATAATATACTTTAAAAGAACACACGTACACGTGCAAATTAAATATACTATTTTCGCCGCTTAAATACATTGTATTTATAATTCATTTAAAATGTATCACATTTTAAAGTTATATTAAATGCAATAAGTTGAACTTTTGAGTGATTTTTTTTAAACCGCTTAAGTGGGACTTTTTAGTACATCTTTATATGTCCAATTACATGTTTATAATTGCTTTTAGTGTCTTTAAAATATGGTTAAAGTGTACTACTAATGTACTGACAAGCAATTAATGTTAACTAAAATATACTTTAATATCAGTTAACAATACGCTTAAGTGTGAATTAAATGTAATGCTTTCGACCACCTAAATGCATATTATTTGTACTTAATTTCAAATATATTACAGTTTAAAATTACATTAATTGCAATTAGCTAAACTTTTGAGTGATATTTTGAACCACTTAAGTGGGACTTTAGTATATTTTATATGTACTTCTGAATAAGCAATTAATGTGAACTAAAATATACTTCAATGTCATATATCTCTGGCAATGAAGTTGAAATTCTGTATATTTATACACTCTTAAAAATAAAGGTGCTTCAAAAGGTTCTTCAAGCGATGCCATAGAAGAACCATTTTTGGTTCCACAAAGAACCATTCAGTCAAAGGTTCTTTAAAGAACCATCTCTTTCTTGCGTTTTTGTAATCTGAAGAACCTTATTTCGCCACAAAGAACCTTTTGTGAAACAGAAAGGTTCTTCAGATGTTAAAGGTTCTTTATGGAACCATTTAGACAAAAAGGTTCTTCTATGGCATCGTGAAGCACCTTTATTTTTAAGAGTGTATATACAGTATATATTTTTAAATCTCTTAATTACCTAGTTACAATCAACACAAACAAAATGGAAAACCCTCTACATTTATTGACAAAACAATCTCTAAAACAAATACACAAAAATGCTTTTTGATGATGCACAAGAAAAACCCAACACTATATACAGTTACAACACTTTAACTCACTTATTAGAGTCTGGAGAACAATGCAAAATCACTTACATACAGTACTTGCATACAAAAGTACATAATCTCGCCATCTTAAAAAACATCTTTCTTTATGACGTATAAGCCTGTTTCCTCATTGGGGACCTAAAAATGTCCACAAGGTCAAAATTTACTGGTATTACTATCTTTGTGGTGTCATTTGGTCCCCATAACGTTTAAGATTACGAACACACAAACACTTAATACAAAAAAAATTCAAGAAAATTATAATTCCATGTACAACAAATGAGACCTTATTGTAAAACATTACCAAA